TGTAAATTTTCGGTGGTATTTTGGTCAATTTAGATTTTATGAATTATTTTTTTTCATATTTTTATTAGGTGCGTCTCACTAAGATGTACACATGCTCAAAATTTCATGTAATTTGGATTTGTAGAAAAAAAATAAAAATTGAAACACTACCGGACAACTGTGATCGTGCAATGAAGTTTGGATGGTGATGAGGGTAGGTGAAATCACTGTTCATTTTTGTTTCTAGGTGTTGGAAAGAGTTTTCCTATATATATGTATATATATATCAGAGCCTTGTCCCAACTATTTGGGGTCGGCTACTGGAATCCTGTTCCTCCATACTGCTCTATCAAGGGCCATACCCTCAATAAGAGCACAAGTCCCCATATATTTTTTCACTACTTCTATACATGTGCATTTGGGGTTTCTTCTTGTACTTTTAGAGCCTTCTACTTGAACTAAATCACACCTCCTAACCGGTGCCATATATATATATATATATATATATATATACACAGTCTAAGAAGAGAGGGGCGTGTGGGTTAGATTAGAACCTCCCTTACTTCCTATCGTCTCTTATATATTTCTTTCAAAATGATTCCCCTTCTCGAAACCTCTCTTTCTCTCTTCATGTCCTCCCTTTCTCTTTGAATCTTCCTCCCTCACTCTTCTTCTTCTTTTACTGCTGTATATTTTAACTTAGCACCAGTGTAAAAATACTTTGCTACTGGTTGTTGCAACCCTAATTATGTGATTTGACTGGGCGACAGTCTCCATCAGTCGTATCGTCATAAACCCTAAAAACAGAAATGGAGAGTAAAACCTTGATTTCAAATTCTTTATGTTGATGTTAAATTCCCTAGATCTGGTTGCGATGAGTCAATGGAGTTAAAACCCTATATCTGGTTGACATGATTCACTGCTGTTTTTGGAACCCTTACATATGTCACACCCTTGTATTGTAGTTGTGAGACTAAGTAATCTTAATCTCGTTTATGGATGGTCTTGGATCCTTGTGAGAAGTGAACTTGAGTTGCTGATTGTATTGATCAACATGTTTTTAACTTTCTGATTGTGTTGACCAACAAATTCTCATTTTGTGTTCGGTTGTATAGTATTAGTGACTCCTCTATCATCTCTAATAGTCCTTTCCATACCTGATATCCATGGAGAACTTTTATTTGGCTCGGCCCAGCCTTGATAGGGCTTGGACCGGGACTGGGCCTGTCTCTCTTTGGCCTGGTCAGGGCCAGACTGCATTTGGGCCAGCCCTGTGGTGACTAGGGCTATGCTAGGGCCAGGGCTGGCCCATTGCCAGCCCTAGCCATAGACCACCTAATACTAGGTCATTCAGCCAATGTACCCATTCCCAATGAAGTATGGAATCCACAATAATTCTTATTTAAAGTTGCGCTTTCTTCTTTCATTGCTTTGTAAGGAGCTGTGTAGTCCTTTTTATGTATTGATTTGTATGTAATGGGGACATTGCCATAAACTCATAGAAAAGGGGAAGGATAAAGAATTGCCCCTGCTGCTCATCTTAATCAATCACTATTGGTCTTTTTAAGTTTGATGATGGCAGTAAGTTGGAGGGGAACAAACATCACGATAGAGAGATTTAGTGAATTTACATTGGAAACATGCGACATTAGACAAAACGATATACTAATGCCTTAGAAATACTTGCAACTACAATAACTGATAACCATCGTTAGGAGTGAAATGGGTATAATCAAATTGAAGCAACTCAAGTCATATGATTTGTTTCACTAGATCAATAGTCCATGGGGACGATCGAGAGAAATAAACCTTTTAAGAGCATTTGAGAGTGTGTTGAGTTATCTTTTTTGGGTAAGATAAATTAAGAACGACAGAGGGATTTTGTTCCCACTACCCACACGGTGCCATTAATTGTGTAATCAACACAAGGGTTCTTTACAAAAGAGTATACCTATGGACCCGTTTTCTGTAAGAATTGTTTCTGATTGGGTCCTTTTCTTCTTGACACATTTTTTAGGTAGTGATTTGACGTCGTGGTTTGTTATATGTGGTTGTTGGAATCTGCTGATCACTCATTTTCTGTTACCACAAATATTTGAAGGTTTTGTAAAAGAAGACACCAGTTCAGTATCTTCAATTGTCTAATGCAATCATGAGAATTATGTTATGAGCAGTGTTTTAAAAATCGGCTAGTCGAACCGGACTCGCCCGGTTCGACTCGGGATCCGACCAGCCCGTGCCGGTTCCATCATAAAATCGGGAATCGCCCGGTTCTAGAGAGAACCGCCCGGTTCCCATCCGGTTCAGCCGGTTCTCGCACGTGTTCTCGTTCGTCCGTGCACGCTCACACGTGCAAGATTGCCGATTCACTGTATAGAATCGGATGGTGACGTCATGTCTCGGCATGTATGATGTTTTCAAGGGTAATTGGGATATTTGTCTTAAAAAGACAGGTAATTTTCGATATTGTTGGACGGCAGTACCACAATCATATATAACCACGTGTTACCCCATGTACCGTTTGCTTGCACGCTGTTGAAGAGCTCAACCTCACATCTTTTATAAACTTGGAAGTCGCTTGATATTTCCGATGCGGGACAATTCCCACTTGCCTTCAACAGCGTGCAAGCCATCGTCACACAAGCTATTAATTATTGCAAGCCATTATCCATATGTGTAGCGTTTTAATTTAGCGTGTCAAATTAATAGCACTAATAAACGGCTATATAAAATTAAAAAATAAATTAATAGCACTCATTAATTTAGTGTGCCAAATTAAAAAATAGCCATATAAATTTTTTTGATGTTTATTAGTAAAATAGTTTTTTCGATGGGTTTTATTACAATATTTTATTTTATTTTTTATTTTTTTGTAGCTATTGTGCATATTGCCGATAGGATTTTTTTTTGAATTTTGGCATCTTTATTTTTCATTTTTTTGGGTAAAGTTATTTTGAATCTTTTAATATAATTACATTAGAATTTATTGGTGGTTTTATTTTTAATTTTAGTCATATGATATGGAAGCCACTTCTAATAATATTTTAATCACTTTTCAATTAGATAATATTCTAACATATTTTTAATTTGTTATTTTTT